CTTCTATGTACCCGCAGAACCCAAATCGGCGTTTGTCATCAGCATCAGAGGTATCAACGGTGTGAGCCCATTTGACCCTTCAAATTATCTTCCCCACGAGGCAGAATGGAGAAAAAGACCACCCATTTTGTAGAAAGTGGAGATGCTGGCACCAGGGAAACCAGATCAACAGGCTTATTAGAAGAATGAAGTACGGTGTCCACCATGATTATTTTTCTAAGCCGGTCAGTATGTGCTCTCAAATTGAAATGTATTGATGTATTTGTGATTGCTTTTGTTGTTAGCCTGCCTTTGTCTTCCCTTCGCTAACGTGGCAAGTCTGGTGTGTGATAAAATTAAGCCAAATCAACAGCCCATTACATGCAAAGTCAGGGTTTAGGAGAGATGTGTGAAGGACATCTCTCCGGCTTTTAAAAGGCTTTTCTTGGCTACTCTGGGCTCACAGCCTATGAGTAAAATTTAAAAATAATTAAAAATTTAGAAAAACGCTTTTCTCTACAAAAGACCTTAATTTTTTTGTCTTTGAACTGCGCTGAGTGATTCAAATCGGTTTATTCTAAGAAAGCCTGTTTCACAAGCATTTGTACATGACTTGTAGGTAAGATAAATACAATTCTGGTTTATGGAAAAAATTATATTTAGTTCTAACATTCATTTCTCAAGCCTTCACTTGTTTATAGACTACCATGTAAGTGGGTTGTTTTCCTCTTGCATTCCATTCTTGTGTTCTTGTTTTGCATCTTTGCCATACTTAGGTGAGTTACTAATAGTTGTTTCATATTGTGGGCATTATGAAGGAAGAAATAAAATTTGTGCCCAGGAACGCATTATTTCCGAGCATTTGGTGAAATTAATAGCACAACTTGAAAGGTCTGGGGTATTTTATACATAACGTTCCTCTATATGTCACATAACATCTCACCTAGACTAGTGAACAATGTAGAGTGTAACATGAAGTACATACAATAAAAGTAAAAATGTTTGTGGTCCAAAAATACAGAAAGAAATGAGTCAGTGAGCCAGTGACAGGGTCAGCTTAGGCATCAGAGATTCTAGTTGCTGTATGACCTTGGAAGAGTTCCTGAACCTCTCTGAGGTCTTCTCTTTATAAAATGACGATAATTACTCTGCTTGACCCACCAGCATTGCTGTAAGGATGGAGAGAGAGCTGCATTCTGAAAGCTGGGAATTGCAGCTGGTTGTTAGAATATACCGAGAAGGTGGATGAAACGAAATCAGCAAAATGCTGCTGACTGTAAAAGCTGGGAGGTGGGTACCGCACATGGAGAGTCGCTAAGATCTTCCCTCTAGTTTTGCTAGAGTTTAAAATTTTCCCCACTGATTTCTTCTTTTTCAAAAGTTTTATTTGTATTGACAAATACTAATTTTACTGTATATATTTATGGGGTACAAAGTGACATTTCAATACATGTATCCATTATGGAATGATAAAATCAGGGTAATTGGCATATCTATCACCTCAAATATTTATCATTTCTCTGTGGCTAGAACATGTAAAATTCTCTCTTTGAGCTATTTTGAAACGTACATTATTATTAGCTACAGTCACTTTACTGTGCAACGGATCACCAGAACATATTCTTCCTGTGTCACTGAAACTCTGCACCCATTTACCAACATCCCCTTTCCCCAACCACATCTTCCCACCACCCACACTCCCAGGCTTCTGGTAAGCACCATTCTACTCCCTACTCCATGAGTTCAACATTCTCATATTCCACATATCACTAATTATTTTTTTAAAAAAGATATACATCAACCCATAAAGTATGTGAGGTGTGTGTGTGTGTGTGTGTGTGTGTGTGTGTGTACACCCACACCCAAGAAAAAGGACCAGCCATGGGGACAAGCCAATCCCTCTCTGCATGGGGATTGCCCATGTGTGGAGCATTCCTCTGTGTGGAGCCCATTCAGCTTCCTCCCATGCCTCCAGCACCCTCCCGGGACCTCTGGCCGGGTACTTGGCTGACAGGAAGACCATTTGTCCATTCACCTGCTGTCTCCGGCATGTTTCCTTGACCCAGTGGGGTGTGGAGACTGGAGTGCGCTGTGGTGACCTCAGTCCTCAGCACCCAGCACATTGTTCATTAAATCAGCAATGCACCCTGCCAACCACTTGACCCCTGCTACCTTTGCCACACTCAGGCCTCCCTTTAGCCAGCCCATCAGGAAGCTTCCAGAACCTTCTGTTGTGTGGCTGTTTTCCCAGTTACCCACAGCCAGCCAGCCCCAGGCTGGTCAGAATGGACTGGAGGAGACAGCATCTGATTTAAGTTTCTTCATGGGTTCTCTGGGTCCACGGAGGGTGTCAGGACCCTGACCACAGCAGCAAGAGCAGGTTGTGTACTTGTCAGCAGGTTTTGACAGCAGTGCGCAGGGCAGGCCTCCATGATACTGGTTCTCCTATTTCCTCCCCACATGGACAAAAGGAACACAGAATTCTCCCTCAAACTTCTCCAGGGCCTAAGGGTAACCTATGAGGGTCCCTCATCACCCACTCCCAGAAAGTAGCATCAGACTCTCTCCTTCCACCTCTGCCCACCCCTTCTATTGCTGCTTCCCCCAGGCCACACTGGGGAGGAAGAATGGGTGGGAGGGAAGACTGAAGAGGAAGGAGGGGAAGGGGAAGCTGTGATTATTTTGTGAACCGAGAGACATCAACCACAGCCCACACCCACCATAGGGCCCCACTTTGGGTCCCAGGGTCCATCTCAAGCCACGGTGGGGGTTCTTGCCAGTCTCAGTTCCTCTTGGTGAGGCAATGGTGAAGAATGACATAGATCATTGGCCTCAACGGAAACAGACAGCTCTCTCCTGCAGGTCACCACCCTGGAGCTCTGGAGAAAGAATGGCCGGGACACCATCATTTCCTCCCAGCTCCTCACCCCTGCACTCCCCAAGTTGTCACAAATCCAAATGCCTTCTAGAGAGTCTCCCTGAGTGCCAAGGAGGCAGAGAAACTACTCAACATATGTTGTCTCCAAATAGACGACGACAAATAGATGCAATATTCACATCTTCAAATTCAATCTGTCTAGGGGGTTCTCACTCTCTAACCCTGCCTCCTTGGTCCAGGCGTGTGTGCAGTCCAGGAGAACACACGGCCCCTAGGCTCACACCCTGGCTGCCCCACTTAACAAATTCCTTCATCTTTCTGTACCTTGGTGTTCTCATCCAAAAAAAAAAAAAACGGGATAGGCCAGGTACAGTGATTCACACTCCTAATATCCCAATACTTTAGGAGGCCAAGGTGGGAGGATCAGTTGAGGTCAGGAGCTCAAGACCAGCCTGGGCAACATAGCAAGATTTGATCTCTACAAAAAATAAAAAATTAGCCAGGTGTTGTGGCACATGCCTGTGGTCCCAGCTACTTGGGAGGCTGAGGCAGGAGGATCGTCTAAGCTCAGAAGTTGGAGGCTGCAGTGAGCTCTGATCATACCACTACACGGCAGTCCAGGCAGTGATGCAAGACCCCATCTCTAGAAAAATTTTATTAATATTATTTCCTTTTTTTTTATTTAATTTTTCTAGAGAGAGCATCCTGCATTACTGCCTTGGCTGGAGTGTAGTGGTATGATCACAGCCCACTGTGAAGTGCTTAGAACAGTGTCTGATACACGGTAAATACACTGTGGGTTAGCTCTCATCCTCCTCATCTCTATTACTGATTATTACTGACTTCCTTAAAATCGACCTTTTCCTTCCCTTCCTCCAAACTGAGCTTACTTACTCCTTCATCTACCAAGGAGACTGTTTTCAAAATCCAAATTCTTTCTCAAAACTCAAATACGAATTTTCTTTCTTTCAAATTCTCCTCCTCCCTAGAAGCCCGACTCTCCTTCATTCATGGTGACTCATGACCCTCCAGACATAGGATTTTTTTCCTTTGCAAAACCAACAAAATGTCCTTTGTTCATCCATGAGCTTGCATTAATTGTGGCTGCCAGTTTACAAAGCTCTTTCTATTATTTATTTATTTTTAGAAATGGGGTCTCACTTTGTCACACAGGCTGCATTGCAGTGGCACAATCATAGCTCATTGCAGCCTCAAACTCCTGGGCTCAAGCGATCCTCCCACCTCAGTCTCCCAGGTAGCTGGGACTTAGAAGCGTGCACCACCATACCCAGCTAATTTTTTTTTTATAGAAATGGGGTCATACTACATCGCCCAGGCTAGTCTCAAATCCATGGTTTCAAGTACTCCTCCCACCTTGGCCTCCCAAAGCATTGTAATTACAGGTGTGAGCCACTGTGCCAGGGCTACAAATCTTTTTCACTTACAATATGCCATTAATCCTTGGTGGAGGCCGGAGAAAGGAAGCAGTTTGTCCCAGCCATTTTCTTTCCCATTTACAGCTTGTCAATGGCAGAGCCGAAGCTGGACTCCTGGCCTATCTGACCCTAAGTTCAGGGTTCTCCTGGAACCTCACCTGCCCCTGCTGAGACACACACCTGAGAACTAATGCTAGGCAGACAGGAGAAGCTGTGTCTGGGACCCTTTTCCTCCCCACATTTAGTGGTCTCTAGAACTATTCATCTGAACTTTTTGGTTATTCCTAACTAAAAAGTTGCAGTGGAGATGGATTTAGGTCAACATGGGGAAATGTTTGTGATGCATCATTGACTTTAAAATAGGTTATGGGGCCAGTCACGGTGGCTCACGCCTGTAATCCCAGCACTTTAGGAGGCTGAGGCAAGAGGATCACCTCGGCAAGAGGTTGGGAGTTCAAGACAAGCCTGGCCAACATAGTGAAATCCGGTATCTACGAGAAACACAAAATTAGCCAAGTGTGGTGGCACACGCCTGTAGTTCCAGCAACTTGGGAGGCTGAGTCAAGAGAATCACTTGAACCAGGGAAGCAGAGGCTGCAGTAAGCCAAGATCACACCACTAAAGTCCAGCCTAGGTGAGACAGAGCAAGACTCTGTTTCTTTAAAAAAAAAAAAAAAGGGTTATAGGCTGGGTGCAGTGGCTCATACCTGGAATCCCAGCAATTTGGGAGGCTGAGGTGGCATCATTTGAGGCCAGGAGTTTGAGGCTGCAGTGAGCTATGGTCACACCACTGTATTCCAGCCTGGACAACACAGCAAGACCCTGTCTTTAAAAACAAAAAACATTATAAAGTATTATGTGCAACAGCGTTTCATTTTTCTGAAAATACACACATTTAAAGAAGAGGCTGGAAGGATAGACCTTCAGCTTTGAAAGCAACCCCGGAAGTGTTCCCCAAATCTCTCCTGCTGGCACTTGAGCAGGGATTGGATATACACCTACCCTGGTGATCTGAGTCCTGAGAGGGATGGGAAGACAAGGAGCAACAGGGGGAAAAGCTGGCAGTGACAAGTCCTAGGATTTGAGGCAGGGGGTACAACAGAAGAATTCATGTTTTTTTTCTCTCTTGTTTATCTGTACTTTCTAAATTTTCCACAAAACACATTATTGCATTTTTAATTTAAAAAAAAAAACACAAGACCCGGGGACAACGGACTCAGATGTTGAAATGTTCTGACGTTCACCAGAGGCTGCAGGGCTTAGAGCTTTCTGCTTACCAAGAAGAAATGACAAACAACAGGGGTCTCCTAAATGGCAGCCCTGGTATTTCCAGGAGAGCCTTAGTTCCCCCTCAGACTCAGAGTGGAGCCTCCAGGAATGGGTACCACCAGTCCCACGAGGGAGAGAAAGTGCCATCACCTGCATCGCCATCACCAATGCGGGGTACCTTCGGCACCTCGCCAGCACATTTTATTTATTCATTTTTCAATGTCCATAGGTTTTTGGGGAACAGGTGGTATTTGGTTACATGAGTAAGTTCTTTAGTGCTGATTTGTGAGATTTGGTTACACCCATCATTCCAAGCAAGTATACACTGAACCCAGTTTGCAGCCTTTTATCCCTCACCCCCTTCCCATCTTTTCTGCCTGAATCCCCAAAGTCCATTGTACCATTCTTATGCCTTTACATCCTCATAGCTTAGCTCCCACTTAGGAGTGAGAATATATGATGTTTGCTTTTCCATTCCTGAGTTACTTCTCTTGGAATAATAGTCTCCAGTGCCAAATCACTTGAACCAGGAAGGCAGAGGTTGGAGTGAGCCAAGATCGTGCCACTGCACTGGGTGACAGAGGAAGACCCCGTCTCAAAAACAAACAAACAAAAAAGAATAATAGTCTCCAATCTCATGCAGGTGGCTGTGAATGCCATTAATTCATTCCTTTTTATGGCTGAGTAGTATTCTACCATATATAGAGAGAGAACAGTTTCTTTATACACTCATTGACTGATGGGCTGGTTCCATATTTTTGCAATTGCACTTACGCGTTTTAATCATTTAATCCATACCACTGCCTCAAAGCAAGTGGGACACTCATCCTTTTCTCCATTGCACAGATCAGGAAACTGAGACCCAGAGAGGTGAGGGGATTTGCCCAAGATTCCACAACAGTCAGAACCAGGGATCTACAGAGCCTGGCTTCCTGGCATTCAGTTGACCACACACACAGCAGGTCCCGTCAGCACCTGGGTTGGCCCAGGATTTATGGTGGGCATGTTGAGAAGCCACACCAGCCCTCCTGTTTCCCAAATAGCTCCCTTGGGTCCTTCTAGGGAGTGCCCCAACATTGCCTGGCCTCAGAACTTCCTGGCCGGAACCACTCCTGAGCCAGGTGACTGCAGAAGGGACCGGGTATGTTCCTTGGGTAATGCGACTGTGACAAGAGAGCACACACTGGGCGGATTAAATGACAGAGATGGATTGTCCCATCACTCTGGAGGCTTGAAGTCTGAGGTCAAGGTGTCAGCAGGGTTGGCTCCTACTCAGGGCTCTGGGGAAGGATCTGTTCCAGGCCTCACTCCTTGGTGGGCAGGTGATCATGACTTGGCTGGTAGGTGACCTTGGCTTGGATGGCAGGTGGCCATGTCTTGGATGGTAGGTGGCATGGCTTAGATGGTAGGTGGCCATGGCTTGGTGGGTAGGTGGCCATGGCTTGGGGGGTAGGTGGCCATGGCTTGGTGGGTAGGTGGCCATGTCTTGGTGGGCAGGTGGCCATGTCTTGGTTGGCAGGTGGCCATGTCTTGGATGGTAGGTGGCCATGGCTTGGTGAGTAGGTGGCCATGGCTTGGTGGGTAGGTGGCCATGGCTTGGTGGGTAGGTAGCAATCTCCACCCTATGTCTTCACATGGTTATCCCTCTGTTCCTGTCTGTATCCTAATTTCCTCTTCTTATAAAAACATCAGTCATATTGGACTAAGGCCCACCCTAGTAACCTCGATTTAATTTAATTACCCCGTTAAAGATCCTATCTACAAAGATAATTACATTCTAAGGTTCTGGCAGGTTTAGGATTTCACTATTTGAATTTGTGGGCAGGAGTGACACAGTCAACCCCCAACAGGTTAAACCACCTTTACTTGGAAGGGTTCCCCACATCTCTCCTGCTGGCACTTCAGCAGGGATTGGATAGACACCTATCCTGGTGACCTGAGTCCTGAGAGGGGTGGAAGACAAGGAACAATAGGGGGAAAAGCTGGCAGTGACAAGTCCTGGGATTTGGGGCAGTGGGTACAACAGGAGGGAGCTGGGATGATGGCTGCCAGGAAGGGTAGGCCGCCCACAGGCTGGTGTGAAACAAGGAGGCAGGCCCAGGGCCCAGATGACCCACAGGTCTGCAGAGACTGTCGTTCCACTGGTGAGCAACACAGGTGCACCATAAAATATTTTTGCCTGTAAGGAAGGATTATTAGAGGATAATTGCTTTCCTAGCAAGAAGAAGCAAAAATCAGAAAGCTCTGGAACTTTGGGCAAATCATTTCCATATCAATAATGAACGAAATTAGCCCAGAAGCCTTCCACCTTCCCCTCCAGTACTGATGTTTTCAGATTCTGACAGTGAATCTTTCTCTGAATTTCATTGGAACTGATAAGATTTTATCTGGGCTTGGCACATAGTAGGTGCTCAGATAAATCCAGCTTCCTCCCTCCAGCTGCTGCCTTCCACCCTATGGCTATCATCAACTCCCAGGTCCTCCTTTCAGGTTAAAACAAGAAAGAGGAAGAAGAGGGGCATCATTAGATGCTGGGTGTACAATGCTCTCAGAAAGAATGCCCCAGAAACCGATGACAGTGGCTGCCTATGAGAAGAAGGAACACAATAGTGAGGGGTCAGAAATGAGAGCAATTTTCCTTTTCGCTGCATCTTTCTTTATACCTTTTTGTTTTTAAACCACTTGGATGTATTACCCATTATATTAATTTTACATTTTACAAGATTGCAAAAGAATGGGATAACCAGCACACACACAGCCCTGAGTTTGTGACATTTCCTTCCTCCTCATCATCTCCAGCCTGGCCCTGTCAGTGGGTCCTGGTCCTTCATCTTCATCCTCGTGTTGGTGATGCTACTGAGCCACTGATCCTGCACAGTATCAAGTAACCCCTACACAAATCCTATGACCTTCACACCAACCTTGGAGCTAGGGAATAATGTTGTCCCCATGTTAGAGGGGAGAAAACTGAGCTCAAAAGACAATAAACTAACTGAAGAGGCCGGGTGTGGCAGCTCACGCTTGTAATCCCAACACTTTGGGAGGCTGAGGCAGGCGGATCATGAGGTCATGAGTTCAAGAGCAGCCTGGCCAACATGGTGAAACCCTGTCTCTACTAAAAATACAAAAATTAGCTGGGTGAGGTGGCAGGCACCTGTAATCCCAGCTATTTGGGAGGCTGCAGCACAAGAATCGCTTGAACGCAGGAGGCAGAGGTTGCAGTGAGCCAACATCACACCACTGCACTCCAGCCTCGAGACAGAGCAAGACTCTGTCTTAAAAAAAAAAAAAGGAACTACCAGAAGATCCCACCAGGTGTGTCCAGCTCCTGAAGCTACACTCTGGGCTATTAATTGTTGCCTCTCCAACCCCTCCTGCCCCCATCCACTCCGAATGTGCATGTCCTGGCCCCTCAATATAGACCAAGGATCTAGAGAAAAGAGTTTGTATCATTTATATTTATATTTATATTTATATTTATATTTATATTTATATTTATATTCTCCATCCCGCCCCCTTCTCCACCCTACCAAAAAAATAATAGTTTTCCTAGCTCTGAGCAAAAATGAGCATTTGTTCAATAATTGCTGGACTGAATTAAACTTATCAAAAATGGAGTCCTCTTCCAGACCACAGCCTTCGTCATCATCATCATGGACAAATGTTTCATAAGACATCTACACTGTGCTAGAATCTAGAGAAGATATTTAGATGCTTAAGTCTGGCTGATCTAGAAAGAGCTTCTAGATAATACTTCGGAGTAGGGCAGATTACAGAGTACCTCTGGAAATTTTTGCAAAACTGCCTTTTCTCTCCTCCTATCCCACACACACCCATGCACACTCATAAAGTATTCTTAGTTCAGATAAGGTGTTTCAGCCATAAATCCGTCATGATGGGGCAAGAGGTTTTATTTAGCAATTATAGCGCTCCATTGCACAGCAGTTATCAATGCAAGGAGGAAAGATACTTGGCTTGCCTATCTCCTCATCTCCCAGCTCTGGCGGAGACACCTGTCAGGAGAAGCAGCAGCTACCTTTCAGGTCTGACATCTCAGAAGCCTGGCTGGGATGGGGCCGGCCCTGGGGCTGGGCAGGGTGCTTCCAGACAGAACTGGGACTGGGTGCCCTCCTCAGATGGGAGCAGAGCATGGCTTTCAGAAGGAACCCTCCCCCCACCAAAAGCAGGGAATTCTCCTCCCCCACCGCCCCCCACTTGATCCTTAAGAGAAGGAACTCACCCTGTCCTGTAAAGAAGAAATCTGGTCCTACAGTATGAGATCAGCAGGATTTTGCCCCTGGAGCTTTCTCAGGGATGGGAGGTCGGTATTCCAATGCCACGGATAATCGTCAGAGTCATTCTCATGGGAACTAAGCTATGCCTATCACTGTTAAGTTTGCAAAACACCTGCTATGCACTATCTCATTAGCTATTATTTCACAATGCTCCAATGAGGTCAGCAGGGCAAATGCTCTATACCCCTATGTTCACTTGAGTCACAATGAGATAAAGTGACTTGTTCAAGATCACACAATTAGTTAATGACGTATATTAGGTTGGATCATCTGAGGCTGCCAAAAAAGATGGACAACCCCTATCTTCTCCCTTTGACTTCAGAGGGCAAAGAGAAGCTGTGATTTGTGCCTTGGCATGGCAAAGCCCCCCAGTGGGGTAGGAGTCTCTCCGTCCACAGTGACCACACACAGCCTGCAAATCCATAGGTGCCTTGGTGGCTTTGGAAGAGGAGGAAGAGATGCACCTTGGACCTTCTTTATTCTCCATTCCTTTCTGTCCTTCAGGACCAGGCGGGTAGGTCAGCCCCAGTGAACTCTCAAATGACCACTGAAGGAGGAAGTGAGTGCAGAGTGTGATACCACTCACATCCCAGACTGTTTGCTCAGCTGGGAGGCGGTGTTGCAATTCTTCCTCCTGCAGAGATAACACCCTTCTCATGGCTCAGGCATCACCTATCTCCTCTAGGCTGCGCTCCTACTTGTCCATCTCTGCTTTGACCTTGTTTCCAGCATCCAGGAAGGACATGTGCATGTAGCTGCCTCCCCCCACTGCAATCTACAAGCCTGAAATTGGAGGTGTTCATTCCATTCCCCTGAGGGCCCCACTTCCTCTCACTTTCTCTCTCCCCAAGCTGGAAACCTCAGATCATTTCTAAATTCTTTATTCCCCTTTGCATTTCAATGAAGAGAAGTTTCGGCAATACATTTTATCACTTTCAATCTCATCGCATTCCATGCTTAAGGCTCAGAGAGACCTACAGAAAGAGCACTGTTGTTCACTCAGTGGGCAAAAGCAGGGAAGCCCAGCCCATTTGTAGTGGGAGTCTCTTCCTCTCCTTCATCTGTGATCCTGACTCTAGACCTCACCTCCAAGGTGTTGGAATGGTGTCTCTCCCCCTCACTATCCCGCACATAGCACAGTGCCCTGGTAAACATGAGGCCTCAGAAACTCTCCCTGCACCAGGCACTTCGAATGTAAGAGTTTTTTGTTTGTTTGTTTGTTTGTTTGTTTGTTTTTTGAGACAAGGTCTTGCTCTGTCACCCAGGCTGGAGTGCAGTGGGGCCATCATGGTTCACTGAAATCTTGACCTCCTGGGTTCAAGCAACCCTCCCACATCAGCCTCCCCAAGTAGCTGAGACCAGAGGCATGCACCACCATGCCTGGCTAATTTTTGTATTTTTTGTAGAGATGGGGTTTCAACATGTTGCCCGGGTTGGTCTCAAATTCCTGGGCTCAAGTGATCCCCTCCTGCCTCAGCCTCCTAAGTTGCTGGGATTACAGGTGTAAGCCACCATGCCAGGCCAGGAACTTAATTGCCAGTCTGCCTTCTAGCATTCTCCAACAATGGGGAAAGAAACCAGAAAACAAACAGAAGGGACAGGTGTTTGGTTTAGAAACCACCTTCACTCTGTCTTGCTTCTTTTCATTTTTAAACCTATCTGCTGATTTTCTATTTTTGAATGAGTCTGACTCCATCTATCTACCCAGCCTTACTCCCTGACAGCTCCTGACAAACTCACTCTGAACTATGGACACATAGATCTGGCTCCAGTGCAGTTTAACTGCACTGAACTATGTGTCCATCAGGCAATAAGAGTAGGCAAGCGGCAGGGTCTCCAGGGTGAGAATCATGAGCCCTGCCTGGCCTCTCTTCTCCCCAGTGCTGGAATTGCCATTGCCAGGGAACAATCTAGAAGACAGGATGGGGCTTCAAAAGCAAATGTGGCCAGGCACAGTGGCTTACGCCTGTAATCCCAGAATTTTGGGAGGCTGAGGCAGGTGGATCACCTGAGGTCAGGAGTTCGAGACCAGCCTGACCAACATGGTGAAACCCCCCCCCCGCATCTCTACTAAAAATACAAAAATTAGCCAGGTGTGGTGGCGGGCACCTGTAAATCACAGCTACTCAGGAGGCTGAGGCAGGAGAATCACTTGAACCCAGGAGGCGGAGGTTGCAGTGAGCTAAGATCATGCCATTGTACTCCAGCCTGGGTGACAGAGCAAGACTGTCTCAGAAAAAAAAAAGGAAATGCACCTGGGAGAATTAAATGTTGACTTAAATTCAGGCTCAGGTGTAAATGACTGCTAGCAGGTGCTTTCCTAAGAGCTGATTGGTGATGAATGAGGAGGAGAAGGAGCACCCAGAGTCAAGGCAGTCAACAGGCTTTGGTGGACAGAGCACTGGGCTGAGTCTGGGGACAGGATATCTAGTCCCCAGTCTGCCTATAATTTATCTGATGCTTTTTAGGAAAGTTATCCTACCTCTTTGAGCCTCAATTTACAAATCTATAGCGGGTAATTCAATTCAACCAGGTAATCTCCAAGGTTCTTTTCAGATCTGGCAAACTGCGACTCCGACTCCGTGTTGCCTCTAGCCTACCCACATTTGTCTTAACCTTGCACTGTTCATTAACATTACCATGTGTGTGCCCAAAACTCCTGCTATTCAGACCAGAGTCAAACTCAATGCCTCCCAAGCAGATTTAGAAACCAGGGTCATCAAAACCCTGAGGAATGCAGAGAGAGACAGAAGTCTGAATCTCAATATACTCAATGATCCTTTGGAATCGCCACGGGGGTGGAGCTCCATTAACATGACATAAGACCATGTGGTCACACATATGAAGTTAGTCATCCCTCAGATTTGTGGAGTCATTTATCATGAGTCATCCCCCTTTCCTATCGCTTTTCTAATTTGATCTTCTCTAAAATGTAGGAAGCAGTCAGGGCAAGATGCTTCACCCCATTTCCTAGATTGAGAAACTGAGTCTCAGATGGAAGAATCGTAGGAAGTGAGTGGCAACTGAACCTCCAGTTCAGATCAAGTGAGGAGTCTTCATGTCCCATGCCACCACCACCCACTGCCACTTCCTTTCTTATTTTCCACCTCTGGTTCGAGACACAAAAATGAGGGAGAAAAAGGCCGAGGGAGGTAGCTCGGCAGGAAACTCTGGGTGAGTGATGAAGTCCACGGAGGCTCCGTCGCTCCTGTCAGCTCTCTCCGTTCTCCCTTCTGGAGCCAGAAACCTCGGACCACTGCCCTCCTACTGCAGCCTCCCGCCTGGGACAGCACTTTGTCCCCGTATGCAGGCAGCCAGTTCGCTACAGCAAGCCCCACAGCTGTTAGCTCTCATACACCCCTTCCCCTTCAGCTCTGCCTGGCCAAGGCCAGGCTTACTCTGGGATAATTACGAAGCAGGTGACCTCCACTCATGACTAATTGTGCAAGTAGGGTAGAGGTAAGAACAATCCCAGGAAAGGGAGCGGAGGCAGGGAGAGAGAGAAAGAGAGAGAGAGAGAGGCAGGGAGAGAGACAGACAGAGAGAGAGAGAGCACGCCACTCTAATAAGAGGGTAATTGCCCTGCTTAGGATTACAATCTGCCAACATTTCACTAAACTTTATGACACATGATGACAAATTAATAAGCTGGATGCCTCACTGTGTGCCTTAAACAGAACTTCCATGGGTTTCCTCCCATGCCTCCTCGTGCAGGGAGGTAACCCTCACAGCCAGAAAAACACAGAGGACTAGCCAAAAGAAAATAAAGTCCCCAGCAAGGTGTGGGAGAAGGGAGCCAAAAAGGTGGGGAAACTGGTTATTTCTGTTGTCAAAATGGCCCCAGCAATAAATCACCATTAATAATACTGTCATCTATCAAAGAGGTGCTCTGGTTGCCAAGGCCTTTGAAGTGGCAGCACCTATAATTTCCCACCTATAAAAGGTACCTTTGTGCATATGTCATGCTGGAAGCTGAGAAGAGCAAGACACCAAGGAGTTCACACCGTCTCCACGCCCATCCCGATGGCGAGCCTGCTCCCTCCCTCACCCGAGATGGCCCGCGGCCTTCCTGACTTCATTCACTTACTGGAAGGCAGAGGGGCTGGGTGAAAGGAGAGGTGGGGAGTGCCAGGAGTGGCTGCATGTCCAGACAGATCCAGGAGCTCCCAGCCCCTCTCACCAGCCTAGCCGTGCTGTGATGAGGAGGGACCCCTCCCATCCTCCCTCTGCTCCAACCCCCAGGAGCGAAGGCCTCAGGGAGCCTAAGGTCTAAGACAATGTCTGTCAAACGGGAGCCCTGCTGGGCACAGTGGCTCACACCTGTAATCCCAGCACTTTGGGAAGCTGAAGCAGGTGGATCACCTGAGGTCACGAATTCAAGACCAGCCTGGTCAATACAGCAAAACCCCATCTCCACTAAAAATACAGAAGTTAGCCAGGCATGGTGGTGAGCACCTATAATACCAGCTAGTTGGGAGGCTGAAGCAGAATTGCTTGAACCTGGGAGGTGGAGGTTGCAGTGAACCAAGATTGCACCACTGTACTCCAGCCTGGGTGACAAGAAGAAACTCAGTCAGAAAATAAAAAAGGGAGCCCTGACACACTGTCACTAGGGCGTCTCTCCAAGTGTCTCTGCTAGGGATCGGGAAATTACAGGGGACATGGGACGTGAGGGTGCCTCACTTGACCAGAGTGGGAGGCCTGGCTGCCACTCACTGGCTGTGATTCCTCCATCTGAGACTTGGTTTCTCAATCTGGAAAATGGGGATGAAAATTCTTGCCTTGTCTACTTCACACAGTTCTACTGAGGAGCCAATTAGATTAGATAAGGGATGGGAAAGGGGAAACTAGATGGTCATCTTAATCCAGCTCCCCAGGAAGTGATTTTCACACACTCAAAGGTCTAAGAAGCACTGGCCCATGGTCCCTTCCCCTCTGCGGAACCAGGAGCATGAGCATCGTAGAAAGGTGGCTGTGACTGCCTCACCAGAAATTGATTGCCTCCCAGTTCTGGAGGCTGGAAGGCCAAGACCAAGGTGCTGGCAGGGTTGGTTCCTTCGCAGGCCCCTCCATGGATTGCAGGCAGCTGCTTCTTTCCGCTTCTCACAGGTGCTCCCCTCTGCACTTGTCTGTGTCCACATTGCCCCTTATCCAACAAGGACACCATTCCTGTTGGACTAGGGCCCACCCTAATGACCTCATTTTAACCCAATTACCTCTTTAGAGACCCTCTCTCCAAATATAGCCACAGTCTAAGGCACTGAGGTTAGGACTTCAACATATAAATTTTGAGGGGGACAGAATTTAGCCCCTAATGGGCCTGAAAGCTCAGCCCAGAATGAGCCCTAGCCAGATAGAAAAAAAGGCCCTAAAGCCACTTAGCTGCTGCCAACATCTGAAACTCTCATTTCCTGATCCCTGGGATAAATCTTCTGAGTTAACCAAGCCCAGCCCTCTATTTCCCCACTGCATCTTGAGGGTGATTTGTCTTTAGATTTAACGTAGGGATGCCAGGTGTGGTGGCTCATGCCTATAATCCCAGCACTGTGGGAGGCTGGGGCGGGAGGATTGCTTGAGGCCAGGAGTTTAAGACCAGCCTGGCCAACATAGTGAGACCCCATCTCTACGAAAAGAAAAAAAGTAATTAGCAAAAGTGGTGGCATGCACCTACAAAAATAAAGAAGTAAAAGAAAATAGGCCCACATCCCATCCAAGAGAAGAGGCTCCACCTTGGTCCCGCCTCCCAGTGAGGTCCTTTTGAGTGTCACTTAGAATCCCAAGGTATTTCTAAAAGTGAACATGTGTTGAGAATAACGTGTACTCTGTCCCCAGCACTGTTCTGAGAACCGATATCATTTCATCTGTACAACTACCTATGAGGTAGGAACAAACAAGGAAAGTGTTGGGTAATTTGCTCAAGGCCAACAGTCAGCAAGAGCCAAGCCTGGCCTGGAACCCACGTCTTTGTGACTCAAGCCCACGTCTTCATCGCAGATGCTTTTCTGCCTATAGATCCTCCTCTCTATACGTGGAGAGGCCAAGCCATCAAAGTTTGAGTGGCCTCTGCCACCTGTGATCACCTGAGGAGCCGCTAGGAGTTTAGGACTAGACTTTATTATTTTATGGAGGATTTATCTGTGGAGTATTGCTCAAAAACCATGATCATATATTTTTATGTGTTTTATATAGGTGCATGTGTAGTTTATTGATAGCGAGGTTTGCATGCATTTGTTCTGTGAATCAGCTCCAGCTGGAGTTCCTGGGAATCTCACTCAAAGATCTCAGGGTCTCTTTCTGCTGATGGCTCTCCCTTCCACGATCGGTCCCTTCCCTCTGCCTCAATTTCCATGTTAGTAAATGAAGGAGTTAAGCTATTTCTACAATCCCTTCCTTCCTTGGCATTGTTGATTCCTAGGAAGCCCTAAAGAGGAGAGAGGATGGTAAGAGTTTGCATAAATGTCCCTGCACCCCATGCTTGAAAACTCAAAGCTCAGCCCCAAGGCTTCCATGAATCTTGGAACATAGAAAAGGACTTCAAGACCCCATACCTATCAACAAGAGAGATTCCTGCTGCTTCAGCCCCTCCACCCCTTCACCTTCGCACTGAGGAGGCCCCCATCACCAGGAGGAAGGAAGCCTGCCCAGAAGGGGGGCACCCCCAACAGCCCACCAGCTCTCATGCCCAGCTGCCCCTGAAATCCTCTGATTCATTCATTTTCTCCAGCAGCCTTGACTTTGTCGTGTGTACCAGTCATGGAATCCCTGAGATGTCTACAAAACCCTGCAGTCACGGGCTCCATGCACACTCCAGAACAGTGAGGAGCTTCAAAAGCTAGGGAGCCCTTTCCCGATGCTTCCATGGGGTCTCAACGATTCCTGAGGCCTTGATGCTCTGCCAGGGATTGGCAGTTTGGAAATGGTTTCATGGTCTGGCTGTCCTAAGGATCTCTGGTTGTGTGACTGGGAACAAACCCTTCAACCTTCCAGGCACAGTTTTCTTCTGCAAAATGAGAGGGTTGGGTGCAAGATTCCTGAGGCCCTGGGGCCTTGCGGCTGAGTTTATGTCCCCCACTCCCTGTCCATCCATCTATGGAAGTACTCATAAAGTATTTCACAGCCACAAGGAAAAGGCACACAAGGTCCCCCAGCCCCCACACACACAGAGGAGCTGCACCCGCGCCCCTCCCTCAAGGCTGGGCTTCCTCCCCTTCAGCACACACAAGCTCTTCTAGGCCTCCCAGCTCTTTGCAGCAGAATGGAATGGCCCAGCCATGGCTTCTCAGAGGACAGCTTCTTGGCAGAGCCGACAGTGGGTGGAGTAGAGCACATTTTTTCCTTTGAGGTCCAAAGGGCTGTCAACCCTCTTCAGCTGCCCTGGGGCCCGACAGCCACAGAAAGAG